GAGCACGCAGTGACAGAGGGTCTGTGCTCACCGGACAGGGCTGCTCGGGCGGCTCGGCTGCAGGGCGGCTCGGCCGCTGGGCGGCTCGGCGGCTGGGCGGCTCGGCGGCTGGGCGGCTCGGCAGCTGGGCGGCTCGGCGGCTGGGCGGCTCGGCGGCTGGGCGGCTCGGCGGCTGGGCGGTCGGCTGCACGGCGGCTCGGCTGGTGGGCGGCCGGGCGGCTCGGCTGCAGCGCGGCTCGGCGGCGGGGCGGCTCGACTGCTCTGCTGCTGGGCGGCTCGGCTGCGCTGCTGTTGGGCGGCTCGGCTGGACCGCTGACGTAGGGCGGCGGGGCCGCTGTAGAGGAGTGGCGGGGCCGCTGCAGAAGGACGGCGGGGCCGCTGGGTAGTGAGGCGGCGGGGCCGCGAAGACGGGAGGCGGGGCCGCTGCAGAGAAGCGGCGGGGCCGCAGTGAAGGGCGGCGGGGCCGCAACGAGAGAGGCGGCGGGGCCGCGAAGTCGGGCGGCGGGGCCGCTGAGTAGGGCGGCGGGGCCGCAGTGAGAGGCGGCGGGGCCGCAGCGAGAGAGGCGGCGGGGCCGCGAAGATGGGCGGCGGGGCCGCTGAGACGGGTGGCGGGGCCGCAGTGAGTGGCGGCGGGGCCGCAGCGAGAGATGGCGGCGGGGCCGCGAAGACGGGCGGCGGGGCCGCAACGAGAGAGGCGGCGGGGCCGCAGAAAAGGGCGGCGACGGGCCGTAGGCGGCGCGAAGCCGCAGGTAAGGGCGGCGACGGGCCGGGGCGGCTCGAAGCCGCAGGTAGAGGCGGCGCGAAGCCGCGGGAAGGGCGGCGACGGGCCTGGGCGGCGCGAAGCCGCAGGTAGGGGCGGCGCGAAGCCGCCGGTGAGGGCGGCGCAAAGCCGCGGGTAAGGGCGGCGACGGGCCGGGAAAAGGGCGGCGCGCCGCAGCCGCTAGGGCGGCTCGACGCGACCGTAAGGGCGGCGCGACGGGCCGCTAGGTGCGACTCGACGGGCCGCTAAAAAAAAAAAAAAAGGCAGGCGCGACTCGAGGCGCGCTTCGGTGGGCCCAAGGAACAGTCCCTAGGAGGGGACCTGCTCTGATTCCATGTGAGAATGAGAACGAGAATGGGGTGGACTATGAAAATGAAGTGAGTACAAATATGAAACCCTAATTGGTTGTACCCCCTATGGGATACCCCACTATAGCCTACACAACAGCATAAGCTATAATGTTCTGACATGGGTCTTGTGCCTACCTTGACTCACTTGCTCACCCCTTGACCTTGTTTGTACTGTTGCATATATATATACACCTGCTCTTGCTTGTCTAGCCTTATATATATATGTAATCCTGCATGTGAACTGGCCTTGTGGCCTTGAACTTGTGCTCGGAATGTGTGGTGACTTTGTGATCCACCCTGAGCTTGCTTTGCTGTGCTTGACTGGTCTTGTGACCCCTTGTTCTCCCCCACTTTGCCTATGGGGGTGTGTCAGATTTATATGACATAGCTACTGTAGGCTATAGTGGGGTAGCACATATGGGGTACAGTTTTCTAGGGTTTACATTTGTACCCAACTTTCCCTTAGTCCATCCATTCTCGTTTCTATTTTATCACGTGACCCTCTTATGAGTTTCTAGAGATGTTCCTTGTGACTTGAGTATGACCATAACATAACGCATGAAATATTATCATATAATACTGGTGAGTATAATTAAAGATTCTCAGCAAGATGATCGACAATGTTAGTCGGTGTTGTAATAACAATATCGCGAATGTTAAATTCATATGTGTATCTTTATCGCCCCAAGCACTTTAATAAAATGCCTCCTTCATTTGCTTAAGTAAACACACAAAGAATTTGTAGTTTTTGCGGTCTCTATATACAGACAAATTTGTCTTATTGGAACATATAATTGACCCAGATATGTGGTTATTCTTCATCGTGAGCCGCTAAGACGAGCATAGCTCTAAAAAAATAAAAAGGTATGATAAGAAGTATAAGTTGTGAATGTGTCATTGCTTGATTTGGTATGATATTTTCAATTGATTTCAATCAAAATGTAGTAAAGGCTAATGGCTTAACGCTACTTTGATCAATTGTTCTTGTATGTGTACTTCCAGCCTTGTTCCAGACACGCATTTGGTATATGATTACATCGTGGATGTCCTAAAAGTGCAGTTTAAGAACTTAGGTGAAAACAAATCACAAGAAAATCAGTGACTGTGGAATCCTTTCGTTGCGAATATACAGTGTTGGAATAACCGAAATGTCATCGTAACATTCCCGAAGGCTCTCGACTCACGCGTCACTTCATAACGAAGCAACGCGTCTGTATCAGTACCGCAATAGCTCATATAGAGCATGCGGAATATCGAGAGTCACCCGAAGGTCAACAGTCGAAGACAGTCAACGGTCGTGACTCTTGACCGTCCAGTAACCGCACCTGGTAGTTACGCGATGCAACATGGTAACTGTCAAGAAGATCAATAGTCGCGGTTACTGTACTGTAGCAATGCAATTCAGTTAATAAGGGAATGTACCCCTCAGAGTACATGGCTAGCTATGATTGCTATTTATATCCTTGTACTCCTATCTTATAATTATCTTGTTCTCTTTCAACTTTGTTAACAAGGTCATTACCAAGACTTTATTGTTTTCTCTCAACCTAGCAGACTTATCCTGTCCATTTCGATCCTTCAGTTATAACAACATAGAGTATTAGCGTGAGACATGATTTCATACTGTATGGGTTCCGAATATTCTCCTAAAACCTTCAGTATAAAATATTGAAACTTGATTATATATTACGATTTAGCATATGGCACCATTTTCAATGAATTATACAAATGAATGGGTTACTAATTTTGTTGTGCATAGTCAGACAGTTGGACTATATCTGATCGTAGGTGTCAATATGCATGTACACTTGATACGCGTTAGACGTACGTCACCTTCTACCTATCAAAAAGACTGAAGCAAGAATAGGCTTTTCGCCTACCTCGCCAACCTCTGCCACGGGTGAAAATGGAACTATAAGTGATATCGGAATTTTTTCTTGCCTCGTGATAAGCTGTACGATCAATAGTTGCGATCGAACAAGCTGAGTGTACATGATGTGTTGTCACCATTGTTCGAATACACGAGGGATACGGTTTCTGATTGCGAGAAGCAAATTCACGCATTAAAGGTGAGCCTTATGTGGATTGCGTTTCCAGAGGTCGCATCAGGTGAAGGTTTGGGTGACTAAAGTTGGGTGCCGTTGCCCATTTGGATCTGTAAATGGGACGCGGTTTATTTACCATATGAAGTGTGACGCAATAAAGTTAAGCATTCAGTGAAACCTGTTGACCCGCCCGCTTGCAGCCATGCTCATTGTTTCTTTTGCTTCTCCAGTTTCAGGTGGTTTGTCGCTTGACCATGTCCTGGTTCTCAAGCTAGTTTTCCTTCGCGCCGTTGCCCATGTTGTATAACTCCTCGTCACCTACGTTTTTGGTGGCTTGTCTTTGAATCTGCCGTGGTTGACACAAAAATCAGCAAAGCACGGAATGTTTTAGCCAGTGTTGAAGAACAGGAAGTTGTGATCTCTGGCGCACTCTTTGATGCCAGCTCTTCAAATATGGTTAGTTTGTGGGTGGAGTCTAGTCAGGACGCGCTTAGGACGAGAAGAAATTCAACCCGCTGTGCTATTGGCAGTCGGCCACGAGGGGGTATTTGGGTCTGCAACCAGGATTACCATTGGGATTTCGTCAATATTGCTTCCATGCTCAACCACTCTGATCTCCCTAATTAGATCTTGGTTCTAGGTTCTGGACGTTAGTCCGAAGAATTGTACAAGGAGACCTTATGAAGAAACCTTATACACGTCGCTACCAAAAACACTTTACCCTTCCTCTCTTTGGGAGCAGCCCTGAAATAGCTTGGTGGAACACTAAAAGTGAGTGTACTCGTTGCTGACAAAGCCCTCGTTCAGGTGCCCTCCCCTCGCGGCCCCTGCAAAGCCAATCTTGCATTGGAGGTTTCACCAGCTGCCACCGTCGAACCAACGTTGTGCAGTTCCGTTCCGATTCCAACCTGCGCAACCGCCTACGGACAGACAGCCCCTACCTCCTACCCCCTCCTTCCCTTTGAGCCCTGTGTGTCCGGCGGCAGGAGGGCTCCACCTGCTTTGCTCCCCCTCGAAGGAGGCCAATCAAGTTTTTCTCACATGATGCGGCTTTATATGCGTGTAATTTCTTTGCTTGTTTAGCTTGAACTTACAATGACAGCCATGTTGTCTCTCCCTCCTTCGCCCAAGGGCATTCACCTAGCGTCGCCCGACAGCAAGCTTGTGCTGCTTTTCGCCAGCCTCCTCGTCACGCTCTTATTCCTCCGCGCCATGGATCGCGGCGGCGTCTCGCAAGAATCGTGCGACATGGTGCACCCCAGCAGCATGGGCCCCAATGTCAATGCCTCTAATCCTTTGCCACCGCATCTACGGCCAGGATGCATTCTTTACTCTGATAACCGCGCCATTTCCGCGCACGCCGAAGCGACACGTGGACTCACTCCCGCCGCTGCGGCGGCCGTGGCGGGCTGGGGTGCGGCGTCTCCGATACTATCACTAGAGGATCTCTCGCAGTTGCCGTATTACGAGTCGTCGCGACTTATAAACAAGTAAATACGCTATACGTCATCGTAGTAGTAGTAGGACAGCCTGGATCTTGAAAACAAGCAGAAGTAAGGCCCAACGGTTCTTGGCGGGTGCTGTGCTGGCAAGGTCTGTCGTGCGGTGCGTATATGCGAGCGTAATACGTGCGAGAGCGCACAGCATGATCACGCGACGACCGCCGTCCCCGCCGCCAGGCGGTCATTATTTATCGCAACCCAGCGCAGTCACAGCGGCCGATGTGTTGCTGCCAGAATGGCCGTCGACTACCAACCCCAACCACACACTCACGAATCATTTCATCCCCGCTTTGTGATCGCAGGCTGTACGCGGAGCGGCACGGTTACCTCTTTTTCGAGTCATATGAGGGCGTCAACGCGTCGCGCCGGTTCAGGTGGCACAAGGTGCGTCCCGCCGCGCATCTTCCTTCCTACTCCACTACCCTTCCCGTCCGTGCCGAGCGCCGGCGCGTTCGGACCGTCGCACTTACCCTCCCCTCGCACCGCACTTTGGCCCGTGACCGTCCGCACGCGCCGCGCTTGACCCGTGGCCATCGGCGACCGATGTTCATCGCGGTTCAAACTAACCCCTGCTATTCGTCGTTTAGCGGCTACCTGCGTTCGTCTCGCATCAAACGCCGTTTTCGGGCTAGGCTGTCCCTCCCTTCCATTTCAGCGCCAGAATTCGGACTTATCATGTTGGACTCAGCGCCTCCTCCGGAGACCCATCGATCGAGTCAGCGCCTCCTCCGGAGACCCATCGATCATGTTGGACTCAGCGCCACCATGTGCCGTTTCCGAGTCGCGCGCCCGACCGCGTCCGACGCGGGGTGAGGCTCGAGTGACTCGAGGCGGACGGGCTCTCCCTCTCTGGAATGAGATCCCGGCAAGAAAGGAATCGGATCTTCTCACATCGTTGCCCAACATTTCCTTCGTTCTCTCGCAATCTCTTTTTTACTCGCTTGAACCTGTTTCGGTGATTTGTTCTCCTATGGCCGCGCGCAGGTGACGCTGCTGCGACACGCGCTGCAGTGCTGCTGTCGGTGGGCTCTCTACGTGGACTCGGACGCGTACATGCGCATGAACATGCACCGCCTCTCCATCGAGGACTGGGCCGCGCGCGCCAGCAAACGGGTGAGCGAGCTGCGCTAATACTACGCGACGATGACGGTTATAGTACCGCGCCGCGCCAGCGCGGCGAGGGATGCGAGCGGAATGAGGAATGCCGCACCACTCTCTCTCGTCCGTTGAGTCGATTTCATAAGTACACGCTAGCTCCGAGCTGACCGCCCCCCCTTCCTCCCCCTCCCCCTCCCCGGACTCGGGGCCGGCCATGAGTCTGTCTTTCCAAGCATGTCTGGTGGTACTAACCGCAGCATCTCTGAAAACTCGCGCTTCTCCCGCATCCCTCGTCTGTGTGTGGTGGGTGGCAGGGGTACTTCGACTACCTGCTGGGGAAGTCGGACTCGCGGCTGCAGGCGCAGGTGGTGCATGCGGAGCGCATTCTAGAAGTCCTCACACCGCACGATGGGCAGGGGGAGCTGGGGGAGGACGACGAGAAGGAGGAGGAGCAGCAGGAGTGGCAAGAGAAGCCTGCTCCCGAGAAGTGGGAGGAGAAGCCGCACGGCGAGCAGCAGCAGGAACTGGAGCAGAAAAATCTGCAGGAGGAACAGCATAACCAGCAACAGCAGGAGTGGCAGCAGCAGAAGGAACCTCTGCCAGAGAAGTGGGAGGAGAAGCAACAGCAGGACGAGAAGCAACAAAAACTGGAGCAGCAGAAGGCGCAGGAGACAAAAAAACTGGAGCAGAACAAGGCGAAGGAGCAAAAAAAACTGGAGCAGAAGAAGGCAAAGGAGCAAAAGAAACTGGAGCAGCAGAAGGCGCAGGAGCAAAAAAAACTGGAGCAGCAGAAGGCGCAGGAGCAACAGGATAAGCAGCAACAGCAGCAGCAGGCGCAGCAGCAGGGAGCCGCATCACCGGAGCCCAGCCCGGTTCAACCCCCCGTGGCACGGAAAACCCTTGAAACTCCAAAGCCAGCACCCTCTTCTGTACCTACGGTGGATGCATCATCACCACCCGCAGTCCCCTCCGCATTGCCCACGCCTTCCGACCCTTCACCCTTCTCTCTCAAAATGCCATCTCTCCCCTCAAACTCGTCTTCCTCGAAGCACCCGTTTGCTATCTTTGTGCGCAACGGCGACGGGTCATTGGGGTACAATGGCGAGGCGGAGAACCTGTACGACCCGGAGCACGACTGGGCCAACTCAGGGGTCATGCTCTTCGGCCACTCGCCTGATTCTTTCAAGGTCAGCTGCCTTGTGTATGCTTTCACGGCCTGAAATGCTGTGGGGTTCTGTCGGGAGAGGGTTGGTGGGGGAGGGATGTGGTGGCGTTTGACGAGGCGGGATGAGTGCATTGTTGCCTCCGCTTTCGTTCATGTTCGCAGGTCAGAGAATCAAAGGCAGCGCAGATTGCCTGTTCATTCATGTTCTAACCCCAACCCCCCTCCCTCCCCCTCCCCCCCTCCCCCTCCTCCCTCCCCCCCCCCCCCCCCTCTTCCCTTTTTTATTTGCTCTGGCGTCCTCCCCGCTGCCAGTTCTTGGACCAGTGGTACAAGGCGATGCTGCCTGATTACGGCGACCAGCGACCAATGAACCTGGTGGCACTCAAGTGGAAGAAGAAGATTGTGGTGCTGCCTTACTTGGAACTGACAGGGCCGGAGGGCAACATGATCAGGCACTTCTGGCATCCTGTGGGTGCAGACACGCGAAATTATGAGCTGCAAAAAGCACTGCTGGGTGTGCTTGTGCAGCAGCAGATGGAAGGTAGAAAATAACAGAAATATATTTGGAGTAGTGCATATTCACTGTAACTTTATTAATCCTTTGTATAATTATTATTTTCCGCTTCAACCTAGAATCACAGCTGTACATAAAAGCGCAAACGTAATTTATGTCCACGTAATGACTCAAAATCACAAATGCCCGCGAGGGTTTGTGGCTCCAACACGTAGGCGAGGTTTCGCAGAGATAAACGACAGCAGTTACCATTTCCGTTCATCCACCACACTCATCTCATTGCTGCTGCTGATCCACCAAGCAGCCGATCACCTCGCGAACAGTCGCCCCGCTATGGCGACTAGCAATGGCGGCGCACAACCCGTGGCGGAGAAAGAGGAAGCTACGGCGGATGACGGGGCACTGTTGGATCTGGAGGAGGAGACGGCTGGGATGGACGCAGACGCCGAGCCTGGCGATGCGGAGTGCGACGCGGTCGAAGGCCTCCTCGAGGTAGGGGGCGGCGACGCATGCGACGAGGATCTTGGAGAAGGTGACGACGGTCTTGGCGACGCATGCGACGAAGATCTTGGAGATGGCGAAGACGGTCTCGGCGACGCGTGCGACGTGGATATCGGAGATGGCGATGACGGCCTTGGCGACGCATGCGACGTGGATCTAGCAGCTGGCGACGGCGCCGGCGACGCCGGCGACGCTGGCGATGACGGCGACGGCGAGGTTCACAAGGCTAAGAAGGCGAGACCCGACCCTTCGATCCTGACCGATGCGTCTCAGCCAGCGAACGGCTGCGATTCCTCTTCCAAGAAGGAGCCCGCCATGCCGGATGATCCAACGGCTGTGGCGCTAAACCCTGCAGACTGCACCCTCGGTGCGTGATAAGCCCACTGCTGGTGCCGCCTTCGTCAACCCCTGCCACCCGCTCTCACCTCTCCCTCTCCCTGCCCTCTCTCTTGCGTCTCTCTCCCGCGCACCGTCGTTTCTCCCGTCAATCAGATTTCACCATATCGGATCGCGGTCTGCTGGGCGCGGGCTTATCGCACGGCGGCTTCGCGTACATGTGGTCGGGCGCGCGCGCCAACTACGGCATCGCGCTTCGCACCCCGCCTACCGCCACCCCCGCAGCAGCCTCGGGGGCAGCGGACGCCTCTGCGAGCACGGCTCAGGGGGGGGCGACGGGGCAAGGGGAGGGGGCAGTGATAGCGCATGTGGGGTTGGAAGCAGCGGCGGAAGGAACGGGGCCTGCCGCGACGGGAGCGGCGAGTGCGCACGACGGCGGCGGCGGCAGCGGCGGGCGGTATTGTTTCGCGTGCGTGGTGGAGGAGGAGCAGGCGCTGGACGCGCGGGTGCTGCGGGGAGGGGCAGCGGGCGCCGCAGCACCGGGAGGGGCAGCAGCGGCGGGAGACAAGGCGCAAGCGGGCACAGGCGGGGAGACGGTGGTGGGAATCCCGGAGGACGAGAGATATTTGTGTCGGATAGGCGTGTCCACGTTGAATGCTGACGTGGAGTCGCTGGGAGAGACACGTGACAGCTTCGCGTATGGCAGCAGTGGGAAGGTAGGTGGGGTGCGGAGGGGAGGGGGGAGGAGGGACAGTGGCGCATGAGAGGGCGGGTGTGCGTGCGTTAAGGGAGCGGCGAGGGGATAGGCGCGGGGAGCGGCGAGCGGGGAGGCAGGAGGGGTACGATGAAGAACGGTAGGGCAATAGGCGAATGGGTCCAGGCAGGGTGATGAGCCCTTGGGGAGGGTGAGTGAGGGTAGGGAAGAGGGGAGAGGGGAGAGGGGAGAGGGGAGAGGGGAGAGGGGAGAGGGGAGAGGGGAGAGGGGAGAGGGGAGAGGGGAGAGGGGAGAGGGGAGAGGGGAGAGGGGAGAGGGGAGAGGGGAGAGGGGAGAGGGGAGAGGGGAGAGGGGAGAGGGGAGAGGGGAGAGGGGAGAGGGGAGAGGGGAGAGGGGAGAGGGGAGAGGGGAGAGGGGAGAGGGGAGAGGGGAGAGGGGAGAGGGGAGAGGGGAGAGGGGAGAGGGGAGAGGGGAGAGGGGAGAGGGGAGAGGGGAGAGGGGAGAGGGGAGAGGGGAGAGGGGAGAGGGGAGAGGGGAGAGGAGCATCCAGCCTTCGTTCATTCTTCTCACCCTCGCGCTCCCTGCCTCTGTCACTATTGCCTCTCCTCATTCCCCTCTCTCCCCGTCCCCCTCGTTTCCCGCATCCTTAACTTGCCCGCCCTTCCCCCCTCTCCTTCCCCGTCGTCCTGACCTCACCCGCCGTTCAGAAGGTGACGGGGGGCGCGGTCGCCCCGTACGCGCGCCCCTGGGCGCGCGGGGACGTGGTGCTGTGCGCCGTGGACCTCCCTGCGCGCGCCCTCGCCTTCGCGCTCAACGGCGCCTGGCTTGGCGAGGCCTTCCGCCTCCCGCCTTTGGGGGGCGCTGCGGAGCTGGCGGAAGGGGGAGGAGGGGGGGAAGGGGACGAGGGGGGCGGGGGTGCGGGAGGAGGGGAGGTGGGGAGTGTTGAGGCGCGGGATGAGGGGGAAGGAGTGGGGGCTGCTGCGGGGGAAGGGGGAGGGGCGGCGGGTGGGGAGG